TGTCATGAGACTTTGAACAATATATCACGCCTCGATCGATTCCGACAAGGATCGGGGTGTGACACAAATGGCCAAAACACCAAAACTAACCTTCAAACAAGGTTTTCATGCATGGAGAGGGGATAAGCTTAATAAACGGTGCAACTTTATGATATTTAGGACTTAAGGAGGTCCAGGTCTGGAATCATATCCTTGTGATAGGTCCCGATTTAATCTTGCTTCCATCTCCTCAAGGTTGACCATAACTTCCAAAAAGAAATCAAGGCTTAAGGTAGCAGATTAATACCTCAGACAGATGCCCAACACGAAATAGATGCTTGATCTAACACTTCTCCCTTGATACTTCCTCTTCAAACTTGGAATCCTCCCTAAACTCTCAAAGATAAGCTCCCAGTTGTTCTTACTTTACACACTAGGGGGGTTTGCGACCGTAAAAGTTCTTCTATGGTGCTAAGGGAGGCTACTAGGGCAGATTATGACGTTTATATAGGGGGCAAACCCCGAGACTAGGGTTTTCTCTAAACAGCTCTGACTCGCCGAGTCGGGCCTTCCGACTCGCCGAGTCAGTTTCGACCCGCGTCCAAGATGACACGACCCTACTAGACGAGTTGATCTCTCAACTCGCCGAGTCCATGCATAAAACCTTCCCAAACCAAACCAGGTGTCACATTAGATCTTGTTATCTACTTGGTTTCCATGTTCTTTTGTCCCATAATCTTAAGTCTTGTGAGTATGAGCTACTCTAGACCTTGTGGTTTTCATTTCTAGTTGTTTATGAGGTTAAAAAGTCATAAAAATGGGATCGTGGCTGTCTTCATTCAATCATGCAATAGTATTGGATCATTAGTGAGTGTTATGGGACCGGGGCTTGATTTTTAGTTCCATATAGCCATAAAAAGGCGTAAAGTCTTCGACTTTATCACTTAAGACGTTTGTTAGGACTAGATCTGAGCAATAAATGTTGGTCTTTACAGATTAAGAGCTAAGCTTTGGATTGGCTTAACAGCACCATATGTGGGGCGTAATCTGGGCTACACCCAACGTAGCCTAGGTTTCACCCCTTTTCTAGATAAGGCTCTACGCCTTGTGTAGAAGCCATGGGCATGCCATGCGTAAGCCAACAACAGGTTGACCATGAATTTTGGTCAACTGTGAGGGGTTGAGAACTTTGAAGGGAAAATTGGTCTTTTCCTCAATAGGGTTTAGTCTTGATATTTAGACTTGCTAAGTGGGGTATTTACCTTAATTGCTAATTAAGGTTGTGTTGATTATGTATATTGTGAGGAGGTTCTCGTACCCACAGCTCGGGTGTGAGACTTATTGATTATCGTTTCGGGTGAGTTTTCTCACTATACTATAGGACAATAGGTGTTATTGGATTGTTATTGTCTTTGTGACTCTTGCATGTTATGTATATTGGGAGGGGCCCATTATGTATTGCAGACGAGGCCTGTTAGCCGGGTGGGGCCTGATGAATGACGCGCAAGGCCTGATGTATGTATGGTATGTGGTATTTTGAGAAACTCACTAAACTTTGTTCTTATGGTTTATGTTTATGTTTTAGGTACTTTCGGTTCCAAAGGGAAGAGCTCGACGTGATTGCATCACATCCACCGACGTTTTGCATTTTATGACTTGCTTTGAACTATGATAACTATTTGATACTTTTCTATACTTTGATGGGATTTTGGAATGAATGAATGATTGTTTTGGTTGACTTAAAACAAAAACTTTTACTTAGTAATTTCCTGAAGTTACAGCTTCGACAATTCCCCTCGAAGGGTTTTCATTTCTCCATACTCACTGTTAAGTTGAGGAAAAGTGCTTTCGATTGATTTGTTGTTTTGTCCTATGATAAAGCCCCAATTTTGTGTTTTTGTTCTATAATTTCACATAAAGCATTGCGAGAACTTTGAATGGATTAATGAACCGCTACTTGACTACTTGATGAGCACTACAAGAACATGATAAAGAAGGTGAAGTTTGAGCTTAACACTGGGAAGAGTCGGGGGTATGATGGGAAGGTTTAGAAGAAACTAAAGAGATCGAGACAATAAGGATTATGTTTATCCTTGTCTATGGTATATATTGCATTGCGTTGGATATTTGGATGGGAGGGGGTAATTAGGGTAAGATTGTTCAGTTTTGGGATATGTTAAGTTTATTTTGTAATGAGACCTGATGTAAGGGGCAATATATGGGTGGAAGTTCTTAGTTGATGGTTGGTAGTGTTGTAACAATTATATGTTGGTGTCATGCTTGTTTGGCTGTAAAAAAAAATCATTTTTGTTTATCAAAAACCAAAAACACATAATAAAAAAGTTATAATGATCCATAATAAAATACTATATTTCTCAACTTATAGGTATGTAGTAGACATAAATGAAAATTTTCTCACCTAATGGATACGTAGGTTCTATAAAATTTGCATACTGTATTTCATTTTCTATTAGTTGAATACCACAATACAAATTTTCATTAGGGGCATAATAATATAACTTTTCACATGGTTCATGCATGAAGTGTTCGAGGAATGATACACACTAAAATGACTAAAATCCATACCAGTGAACTCGTGGTTAGTAAATAAAAAGTTATTGCCATCAAAGAATAGGTGAAGAGAATTATAAGGTAAAACACTCCTTTGAAGTTCATATCAACCTTGAGATAAAAAAAACATTTGGAATAACATCCGATATTCTCCATACAAAGCTTTTTACCACTAGAAACACGTCAATGTCATACTTAAGCAACTAAATTTATGGAAAGAGGTTCGGAACCTACGATTACTGACAACTCCAAAAAAGCCATAAGCTTTTTACCGATTCGACATCAATCGTTTTAAGGTCCAAACCCTTTTTTTTCAAGATTTAATTATACATCTACATGTGGCTATGAGAACGGTTGAAAATCTTAACGACATACCCCGACAAGTGTTGTTACCAAGTAATCACATCAATTATCTAGAAATGTCTTTATTGACAGGTTTTTGGCTATTTTAGGGACCATAATACTCAAAATTAGCTTCAATGTCCAATTAAAGACGAAATCAATATTTGTGGTGCTAAGATAATAATGACCTTTCATTTTAAGGGCCAAGTATGAAAACTGAAATTAGATCAGGGTCAAATACTCAAATAGCACTTCATCTATAGAAGGGGTTAGGGTTCTTCAGTTTCCCGCCAAATTTAGTCCCAAATCGGTCGAACACACTCCAAAGCCTTAGAAAACCCTAAAATCTACATTTTCTAATTCACATTAACCAGTAAGGCACGAGAGAGATATGGAAATTAAATTGAAGTGCAGCTGCGGCGAAGCGAGTTGCCCTGAGTGGGCAATCATCGAATTGCAAGGTGTTGTTGAAGTTCAACCAGCCTTCCAAGAACGCTTGCGAAATCTTCAAATTGGTATTCTTTGCCGCCCTTCTTCTCAGGTAAATTAATGTGCGCGTGTGTAAACATCTTCAAGTTGTTTAATTACTTGATGATTAATTGCTTGAAAGTTACCAATTTTACCTTCGATACAAACATTATGTCGATTCCCCTGCACCAAGCATCACGTTCAATTTTGATTTTCTTCTATTTAGAAATTGAGAATGAACTTCTTCTGTGAGGTTTATAGATCGGCGAAATCTCAAAAGGGTTTGTGAAGTGGTTTGATCTTTAATCATTTGGTTAATTACCACAAATTCTGATGTTACTCTCTTAACTGGTTCTGGTTCAGGAAAATTATACCTTTACTGTTGGTTATCATGAATTGTCCGGGTCAAAGATCCCCATGAAGAAACCATTACTGGTATTGAAGAAGAAGATAATAAAATCTGATATGGAAATAGACCAGAAAGATGATGATGATGATGATCTGAATTCATCACGGGTGGAACTAGAAGTTATTGGTATCATTCGTCAAAGAATTTTATTCAAGACCAGACCTAAAGCTCTTATCACCAGTAAGTTATAGATTCATGGTGCTTTGCTTAAACTTTTAAAGCATATTATTGAAGCATGATATGGTTAAATTTCCTGATTTTAAAATTGTAATCTTTGTAACCATTGAAGAAACATATTTCTTGTTACAGAACCACTATCTCCTGTGAAGAAGAAGAAAGCAACTGCACCAGTTGCCATTTTTGAAAAGCAAACTTGACTTGAATGAAGAATCTCAGACAAATATTTGTATGTGATGCTGTTCAAGAAAAGTGTGTTTTGATCATAGTTGTAATATGGTCAGATGCCTGCAAAATAACTCAAGTCCAATGTTTGTTCTATGCTTGTAATCTAATACATGCCATCTTTGAAACCGAGTTATGTTTATCAATCATTACCCTATCTTTCTCTTAAGGAGAATATATTTTAATTGGAACTACTGTGGTTATCATGTCTGCACATGCCAGAGGTAATCTTTGTGACACAGACCCATTCAAATGGGATTCACAATGTTTGTTGTTGCATTTTGATTGGAAGATATACAATGATAAATTCGGATTTTAAAGAACTTAGTAAGATAATAACAATTAGATATCATGATTGTCAAGCAACAAAGTAATTTGCATGCTCATCTTTGGTGGGGCACTATGCTCTCACATAAAGTGAAATAGTAATTCTTGGTGTCATGACAAGCCTAAAAGCCGAATCTCTGTGAAATGAATATGGTTTCCTAAAAATTGAAGGCCATCTGAACATTGGCTAATGGGTTGGATGAACTTAAGAACTAAAGACTGTTCTTAGCTTAAAGCTGAAGCATTTATCAAACACACAGTGTAGGGTCTATTTCAAAATAACGTTTACTCAATTTTAAAATAAAGTTCGTCTCAAATAAGTAGTGGAATGGTCCAAAATATCACATACTAGAGTCTAATTTCTCAAAATTGCTTTTTGAAATACAAGGGATAAATCTGTCAATATCAAAGATAAAACTAGATAAAATAATGTCTATTATTTCCTGGCTTCCTCTATTATTTCTCGAAGTGATTTCTTGTCTCATGTTCACTGTCTATTTTTTTTTTTAAACGACAAATGTAATATACTCTAAACTACTTCTAATTCGACCTATGTCTCAAACGGGACTTGAACCTTTGATCTTAAAAAAGGAGGTCAACATCTTATATCTTTTGATTAGAAGCACTTGAACCCTAGACCTCATGTTCACTATTTGTTATTACAAACATTTGCTATCTTAGTCACATATCCAAAGTAGTATGCTAGGTTAAGAAACATGTAAAATTAAGGTTTTATAATAGGGATAATGTTGAAATTGGTATTTAAACTACCATTCTCCATTCAACTACTCATTTAGTCACTATGTTATCATCATCAACATCATCATGATCATCACAATCACAAACGCTAACACCATCATCATCATCATCATCATCGTCATCATCATAATTATTTTATGATTTTCGAAAGTCCTTTTAATTTGTTTGTTTTAGTACATTTCATCCTTATGATTTACTCGTAACATGTTTCTTAGGATATTTCTCTCTTTTTTTTATAACATTTCTTTAACTTTTTAGGTTTCTTAAGTTTTGTAATTTCTTTTCGTTTTTTCACTTTTTTTTTTCAAAACTTCCATATTTTACAATTCTATTTTTTACTTTGTTTTTTTCCCCACAATTCGTTTTTACAACGTCATTTTTTTTTCTAACAATCCATTTATATAACTTCACTTTTACATGTTTTTTTTAACAATTTCATTGTTTTACTTCTTTTATATATGTTTTTCACAACTCTGTCTTGTATAACTTTACACGTTTCCACACTTCATGCTTGAGCCATCAAATAATCACAATCTTGCAGGGAAAAAAGATAATCATTAAGGATCAAGGAAGTGGTACAAATATTTTATAATATCATCCCTTAACTTTATAGAAAAATTATAAAAATTACCGATCTTCTAACTTTTTTATACATAAGTATATACTAAGGCCATCCCCAATGGAAGGTCGGAAAGTTTAATGGAAAAATGGGTGACAATGTGACATTCAATCTACTAAACCTCGCATTGTAAGTGGAGTTGAATGAATGGGTTTAATCCCCATTCAAGGTTGTATAACTTTTCTTTTTTACCCAATTTTATATAAACATTTGTATAATATAATATAACCAATTAATATAGAAAACTAACATTTGTTTTTTTTTTTAACATAAACAAACTATATATTATTATTTTTTCATTTGCATTCTATTTATGCTATATTTTATTTTATTTTCAATAATTAATTTATTAAGTTAATTTGTATTTTTTTCTAAACAATAAAAAATATATAAATCTTAAAAGTATTTTAAAACGATAACATCTTATTTATTAATATTATTTATTTATTAAAATTATTTATAAAAAAATATAATAAAAAATTGATGTGACAATCCATTCAACTCTTAAGAGTTTAATAGTTATAGTGGAATGTTGATGTGCCAATCTATTGAATTCTTAAGAGTTCAATGCATTGGAGATGACCTAAGTATATAGGTCTAAAGATATCTATACTCTAGAAAATATATAGATAAATAAATTACCTCGTTAACACCTTACCAACTTTAATATTATTTTACTTTAAAAATGGAAAACAATACTAAGAGTGATTAATTTCTAACCCTATTTTATTTTTAAAATTTTTAATATTAAAAAGAAAATATCAAACATATTCATTTCTCATAATCTTTAATTTTTTTAGTAATACCCCATTTAGGTTATAAAATTGTCTAGAATCTATTTGTTATAATAACTTTAAAATTTATATATTAAATAAATATAACCAACCAAATAATTCGTATAAAATAATTTAAATTAATTATGCTACTAATAAAAAACATTTTATTAAGTAAAATAATTTCATTTATAACATATTAAAATAAATATACATACTCATTTATAAAAAATATATTATAAACTCAAACTTGAAAAAACAAATATATGAAGTGAAGTAAATGTAACTCTAAATTTAAAGTCTACTATTTATAACCCTATAATTAGCATAAAAAATAGAATAAAGTTGAAGTGACCAACTTTATTTTTACACCAAAAATAGTGTAACTATGTTTATATATGCGATTTTGTAAATGTTACAAGGCATATAATGTTATCGTTTGCATCTTACATGAAATATGCTTATTTGGGTTGTAATGATGTAGGGTAGGACTAGGCCGATCCGACCGTACGCAACCGGCGTTCAAGATAAAACCGAGACACCACAACTATCACACTGTCACATTTTGGTTTTTTGGTAGCTGTCATACGACAAACTGAAGAGTGCATTTGGTTCGACACTGTGGCCAAACATCGTACCAATCAATATAATTCCGCCGCCTGTCTAGCCAAACCTACATATGAGGAAATATGCCTACGATACGACACATTCAATACTAACCGCTGTACCACTAAAGATACAACGTATTAACTTCAACTAATTTCTACATTACGTGGTGATTCAACTAATCGTTACATGTTTTGTGATCACAGACTTGTCGGAACCAGAACGTCTTCGTCCCTAACCAACGAAGTTCCGGTAACATGAGTTTGTTATTGAAAATTTGATTTTTATTGAAATTCAAGTTTATTATTGGTATAACATTATATGATATGATATCACTTATAAACACTCTTTCGTTAACATTTTAATTAAAATTATATTACATTTTCCAAACAAAACTCGCGAGGAAGATATGAAGCAAGGCAAGTGGATGATGATTTTAATGGGCCAAGCCGTATGAAATAGGAAACAGCACCACGCATCTTTTTGTGGAACAACCATCAGCCGCCGCCCACCGACGATCTTCACGGCACCGGTTCAACGACGTTATCGCTTCCTTATCGGAGGTAAAATGAACTGATTCTATCTCCTGTATACCGATTTTTTGACCTAATCGACTCACAAATTTATCCTTTAATTTTTATTCGTTCGGTGTTTGATGGCAATCATTTGTGTATGATGGTTTCTCTTCCGAACTATCACTTATAAGTTTTGTATAACGTCGGTTCTGGTTGACTGGTTTTGTTTCTTATGAATTTGAGCTATCTGTTATTGGCCCCAATTCATAAATCCCGTATATGTTGCTAGGTTTCCGGGGTTTATATATTTGAATGATTTGATGAGTGGCTCTCGAATACATGTTCAGGTTTCCGAGTGTTGATTTCATTTTTCTCCGGCTGTGCTTCTGCCACCTGCAATAGTAGGTTGGAACGGTTGGATGAACTTCCCTTCCTCATCCGAGGGTTAAATATGTTAGAATGGTCTTCATTGCTGTTCGATTACAAGTTCTAACAAAATCATTTCTATTTCTCGTCACTTCCATAGTTCTATGTCATCAAGTTTTGCTAACTATGATCTTAAATAATTGCTAATGTATTTGATCACATAGCAATGTACAATTGTTTGCGACAAGCTTCTGCTTGCTATGGGCTTCGAAATGCAATAGGTTTATAAGCTTATAATGCAGTTCCATCCTGTTAACGAATTTGAACTTTGAATAAAGGCAAGATTATTCTAAGAGTCATGTCTACACATAGATGAACTATGTGGTTTCACATTCACTGATTGATTTCCAAGTACTACCAACATCATGTTAGAAGAGATGTATGTTTTCCGAGATACTTTTTAAATGCTTTAACATAACCAAATACACACTTTTTTTTTGGTGAATATAATTTTGTTATCATCCAAAACCAAGTTTTCTGAGACAATATTGAGCGACAGTTTTTTTTTTGTTTTGCATCAGCAATCGGGGGGTTATTCAGACAACTCTTTTTCAATCTTACAATTCAGAAGCTCAAGTACAACAGACATGAGGTAAAATTGACATAAGCATATAATTATATATATATATATATATATATATATCTTTATGTTTGTTGTTATCTTTTCCTGTAATGAAGTTGTTTGCTTTTTGTTTGGAAAAAGTTTGTTTTAGAAATGTAATTATCATCCTCCTTTTGTGAAAAAAATGACGTGGTTGTGATTTTCATATAGTGTCAAATTTTATAAATTCATGGAATCATCATCCTGTTTGTATATAATTCACATACTGATATGATGTTTTATACTTATGACAGAGGTCTTACCAACTTTATACTTATTTCCTTACATGGCTTATTTGAGAGTTACCAAATTTCAAACCTAACTTTCAATCAATGGGAATGTAACTAATAGCATGAATATTGAATCATACCTTTGGATTTTGGATTAAATGTAATTAAGCTCCATTGATGCATAACATTACATACATGATAAAGATAAACAAACACCTTAATGCACACTTTATTCCTACTACATACATACAACTTAATTTGACATTTTTTTTGATGGATTGTTTGATTGTTGAAATAATATTAATATTGATTTTTTTTATTGGTGTTTAAAAAGCCGTAGGAGAGGTGTTAGATGGGATGAAGCGAACCTTGGTGAAATTGAAGCAAATAAACCTGTAAGACAGAAAATCACAGAACCCAAAACTCCATATCATCCTATGATGCATGATACTGATGGTATTATACATATCCCAATCCCACATTCCATTAAATTTAAATTAATTATCTAATTTAATTCAAAAATGTTGACTTGTTGTAGGATCTTTATCTCCTATTGGGAGCTCTGGTAGTTTCCTTGAAGGAGATGATAACAGCAACACCAAACTGAATGCTGAAGCAATCCGTTTAGCACTGAATGAGATGGCATCTTCCAGTAGCAACAGTAACTCCCATTCTGGATGGACATCTTCAGATGATGAAGATGAAACAGATGCCATGGATCAAGATCAAGGTTCTTCCTACTTCCTTTTTCTTCATCTTTTTCTTTTATTCACAAAAAATAAATAAAAATAAAAGAAGATTAAAACTAAATTCATGATCAGATGATGAAGGTGGGAAGAGTGCAAGAAGCTTTAGGGAGAAAAGAAGGGCACACTATGATGAATATCGCAAAGTGAAAGAGTTAGAGAAGAAGGAATCAGTGAAAAAGGAAACAAATGAGAAGCAATCCATTGTTGATGGTGTGGGAGATATAAATATCACCGAATCTTCCAATCATGCTTAGCATTCTCCATATCAAACTTCTACTTTTCTCAATGCAAATTTCTTGTGTTTTTTGGTTTTTCATAGAGCAAATATAATGCTTTTAGCATATTGGGCTTGCAAATTTCTTGTTTTTATAAACCATATAGATTGTAGTGTTGTGTACACCAATGATAAGGCATGTGATGATTATGGAAAGGTGACTAGTAAAGTGTCTCACAAAAAAGAGATCGTATGGTGTGCATGGGATAGAGTGGTACTTGAGGCTTTGTGAGTTGTAAATCTTTTGTAAAGTGTAGCTAAACTCTATGTTTAAAATTAGGGTTTCCAAGGTAAATTTGGGACTGTTGAAATTGATCCATTGCATGCTAGTTTATGCTTAAGATGTGATGATTATAGATTGGTGATGCATAGCTTCTTAGGATGGTTTATTATGTTTTGCTATTGTCCAGGTCTAGAATGAACACAATGTTCTTGAGTTTTTTTTTTTTTTTTTTTTTTTTTTTTTTTAATGAAGGGAAGGGGATGGAGGAAAATGGAATGGAAGGAAAAAAACAAATAATTAACGGGTTCTTGGGTTGGAGGGGGATGGAATGGAAGGCTGGGATTTAAGTCTTTTTTTTGTCTTCCCTTCAAACCCTCCCAAAAGTGGGCTGGTAAAAAAATAAACATGTATTTCCCTTCCTTTTCATTCCACTCCCTAAATAAACTCAAGAACAAGGTGGAAATAAACCATCAACTGGTTTAGTTGAATAAAAAAAGTAAGCATCGGAAAGTAATTATATAATAGGAAAGGAGGTATGAAGCTCACAAGAAGTGATGGCTATACCTTGGTGTGGAATTAAAGATAATGAAACCAAGGGGGAGTTCTTGGCTATTTTGTAAGACTAGGTGCACATGTAGTCGAGTCTAAATGCTTGATTGTACATTGCGTTATTGTTATGTATGCGTGCTGATTTTTTTTTAATCTTTTATTTTTTTTATAATTACAATCGCATGTGATGTTTGTATTATGGTTTGTGATATAGTTTATGGATCGAGATATTGATCATAGCATGACTTGCATTTATGTTTGCTAAAATTTTCATCCCATTGATCATATTGCGTGATTTCTTTTATCCCGTATTTTTAGTTTCGGTCAAAGAGTCCTATAATCTAACCATTATGTATAGACAAAATTGCAAAAATGGTCCCTGTGGTATGCATTTTTTTGGGGTTTTAATCCAAACCCCGACTTTTTTGGGTTGATGGTCTTTTTGAGCTAGTTTGCTTGCAGTTCTGGTCCCTGTCCAAACTAAAAAGACTATTATACCCTTAATGAATTTATTTTTCATCTTTCTTTCACTATTTACTTATCCACCCCACCTCTCTCTCTCTATATATATATACCGTATACCCCCATCCTTTTTCTTTTTACCAGGACCAATTCATCTTCTTTGTATATTCTTTCTTAATTAAAATTTCACACCCACCCACTGAGTTATCACCACGACCACCACCAGATCATGTCCACAGATCTACAGTGACGCCAAGATCTCCCTGCAATCGGACTGAGATATTTGAAAATCAAGCTTCCAACATCTCCACCATTGCTGGATTGAACATATGAGGAAGCATGTGTAATTTAATTAGAGGATGAAGAAGTGGAGGAGTGTCGTATGTAGACAACAATTGGGGCTCTCCATTTTTCTTTTTACTCGTGACAAACCCATACACTCGATCGAACCTCCTTCTATATTTCTTCTTCTCGTATCAAAGCTAAGCCACCCCATCATCCCTCCCTAGTTCTTTCTTCCAATCCCAGTGGTGTTTCCACTTCTACCGATGACCTTTGCCGCCTTTCCAGCGAGAACCTCCACCTTCCTTTCACCGAATGCTTCTGATCAATATGTTTCTTTTTGTACTTATTTCGATTGTAAGCCTTTTTATCTTCTGTTGTTTCATGATTTGGTGTGGTAATTGATAAGCAGATCCTAATGATCCTCTTTTTCTTATTTGATTTTGAACGAGAAGATGGGACAGAGATAGAGATTCGATGTCTCTTTCTTCTTTCTTTGTAAAATTGATAAGCATGTCTCAAGTTGTAGGTATGAGATGATGATAGGGGTTGATTTCCTTAGGATTCGAGTTGCAATGGGTATTGATTGTGGTGTTAGGCTTTTGAGGAAAGCGGTTACCAGACCTGTTTT